CCAATGATGAAACTGAACTCTGTCAAGATATCCTTGCCATGAACACTGTTTTCGTCTGTTAGATGCAAGCAGCAAGATTTGTTCAGAATTTATTTATCCTTTATTTATCTAATAATATTAATTAACTAATAATGTACACTGTATAGATATTGACAAGAATGAAAAAACAACAGCAAAAAATGTCGAAGCTATTGAAATCAACTTACCACTCAAAATGCCAATCTGACTATTCCTAAAGATCAGAGTGTATCCGAATTTCATACAGAAAACATTATTAAAATAATGGATAAGTTGTGTTAGGTATTTTATTTTTTATTATTGTTTTCTTTAGAAATACTATAGTTTTTTAATTTTTATATACTATATATAGGCTTGTTTACAACATGGTTGTTGCAAACTTCAACTATGATTATTTATCAACTCACCAATTTTGGTTTTGATCTCTTCTTAAACTCAAAATTTCACTTATGAATAAAATTTAATGAAGGACTACTTATATGATGTACTTGACTATGCTATTACACATGCTATTTAAGCCCAAGATGAAGTCATCTGTTAAAATAATGAACTCAACAGCAATAAACATCATCTTCACTTTTAAAGAAAAAGATATAATATAAAAAATAAACTAATTAATATATATATAAATTCTCAAGTTTTTTATTTTTAAATTTGTTATGTATTAAGCATATTAAATAACTATTATATTATTTTTTATTTTTAACAATAAAAAAGAATAATTAGCAAACAATTACTATTTGTTTTTAATATTGTTATGAATTACTCAAGTTTTATATTAAACTTCTTTATAATAAACAAATTACAATATTAATAAACTGCTATAAAGATAATGATCTACTTTTTTTTCCACTACATTATGAATATTGCCAAAAGAATCACAATTGGCCATGTTTGAAAGGAAAGGTCTTGATGAACTCTAAGTTGATGTTTAATAAAAGATTAGAATATTGGATATTTGTTTGGGTATATGGTATATTAAGGTAACACCAATTAATACACAGAGGTGTTTAACAGCACTCAAACTTCATTCTGATATCTGTTTTGTTCTTATTTGCAGTTATTAATTCTTTTTTTTTTATTATTATTGCATGTAAAAATATTAATTGCAATAATATCTAAGTTGCTAAAAATCTTAATATTGTTGCTATTAATTCTGGTATTTGTACTGATTGGTCCTGATATTCTCTATCCAAGAGTTGTAGTTGGTTTGGTAACTCAGATATCAATTATGTAATCTGTTAATCTTTATTTCTGGATAATCTTATTTCTCAATATGTTGTGTCTTTTTTTTTTTGTTCTCTTGTACAGATGTCTTACTATTTTCTTGATTATTTCATTTTGCAGAACTATCTATACTTCTTCTAAAAAACAAAACTCAATAAAGAAAGCTTAGGCTCACTTACAATGTTGTATCTAAAATCTTATTGAAGAGTGTCACAAAAAAGTTGCTTTATAGTTTCTTACTAATTTTGATGTTATCATTATACCACCTTTTAATGGATCTGCTATGTCTCACTGCCTTAATCAAAAAATCAATTCCAAAATGGTTCACAAAATACTTATCTGGTCTCATAATCAATTTCATAAATGTCTTATTTTTAAGGCTGAAGAATTAGATAAAAAAGTAATTATCCAAAGTGAAGCCTACACAAGCAAAACCTGCAGGTAATCTGGCTATATATCATTCTTTCTTCCTTGTCTTTTTTATTACTTCTAATGCCTTATTGTTTTTATTCAGTTGCTATGGATTTATCAAACACAACTATAGATAAGGACAAAATTATTTCAGGTTCAAAAACCCAAAATTAAATTTTGAAGCTGAAATTGTTTTGATCTACAGTATCTTTACTTAAAAGACAAAATTTTTTGACACTTTTTTTGAATAGATGAAATTATAATGAATATAAATATATAAATTAGATTTGCTCTTTCTTATAAAAAATTTTAATTTGCTCTAGTGAAGACAAAGTAGGCTATTTTTGAAAACCTATTTTCGTGGCATGTATAAAAACAACTTGGGTGGAAGCAAGGTGCTCAGGTGTAATAAATGTGGAGTCGTGATTGATAGAGATTTTAATGGTGCTCGGGGAATTTTTCTCCGAGCTTTGCTTGATGAGGCTGTTTGTATATAGTGAACTCACTATATATACGCACTAATTGATTATTTTATATATAGTAATTAACTATAGTTGACTATTATATATTAATGATCGATTCAATTCATCCGTTAATTCAGAATAATACTATACGAAATTACAAAATCCCAAAGAAATAAAAAAAAAAACAGTTCAAAGAAAGCACAGATGCTCTATTATCATTACTAAGCAACTCGCACCTAATCAAAAACTTATCGTCTGTGACATTCAGATTCAACGTGAGGCAGCCGATTAGTGATTTACAACCTCAATTATCTCACTTCCTTGAACTCTCGTCATTGCTATTGAACCGATGTTCAACATAATCGGCTTAGCCGGATTTGCCGATAGGGACAGGGATATGGCACAATAGTCCAAAGTGCTTAAAGTTTATTATGCATGCCTATAAATTTATGTAACCTAATTGATTAATAATATTCCGGAAAAAACGAACAAACTTCCGAAATCGCAATACATAAATCAGCAAACCAATCAATTACATAATATATATAAGTTTACTAATAGCCGCTTTTTCCTTTAATTCAAATAAAAGAATTTAAAAATATCACGTACGTAAATGAAAATAATTTTTTTTATTGTTTTATACAATCTTTTAATTCCTCTTTGTTATGATATGCCTGTTAGTTAAACTTTATACAACAACTCAATTTAAATAAGTAATTTATGCAACTTTCAATAAAGATAAATTCTCATTTACAGTATTTGTTTCTTTTTAATTTATTTTTAATAATAAAAAAAAATAAATAATAGAATTTGGATAGTATTATCACATGACAATTTCCGGTAGGCAAGGCCCATCTAACCGCAAAATTTTATGAAACTAGTCATTTAACATTCTGCGCATTTCTTATTATCTTCTGTTTGGATCAAAAAGTTGTGGGATTCAGAGGGATTCGACGGATAATGTTTCTATGGTATAAAAGTTTCAAAATTGCTTAGTAACCTATTGGCATTTGGAAGCAGATGTTCGAAATGTTTGAAAAAAATTTTGGTAGGTTGTGTAGCGTTAAACCACATCCTACATAGTGGGCACTGTTCTGCTGATGTAACTCCCTAATGCTTTTTACCTAAAATGATGAAAAAGCGCATATTATGACGATCGCTGTATCCAAAAAATTTTGTTATATTGTCCATACGCATATAAATGCCAAGTCCTTTCTGCTTCAAAACAATAACACTATTATTATTATTTGCCATTTTCCAAAAAAAAAAAAAAAAAAATATGCATCAAATTTATTATACACTTGATTTTTTTTTCGGTTGTATATCAGAATCCCCGACACACAAAATCCCGGCAACAAAATCCCGATACACAAAATCCCGACAAATTAAAATCCTGACAATATTACAGCTGTTCTCATAAATTCTGGGACAACTGATAAAATTTATTTCGGTCGAATTCGATAAGTTTTTGAACTCGGTGTTATCGGAATTGGATTTTCGGCATTACAGTAATTCGATAACACCGAATCTAAAAACTTAACGAATTCGGCTGATCAATTTTTATCAGTTGTCCCAGAATTTATGAGAACAGCTGTAAAATTAGGATTTTAATTTGTCTGGATTTTGTGTATCGGGATTTTGTTGCCGGGATTTTGTGTGTCGGGATTCTGAGATACAACCCATGCGGTAAATTAATTCGAACAATGATTACCTGATGGAATAAAAACTGCGGTAGAAGAAATCAACCACAGTCACGGTTGTGGATCGATGTGAAGCATGTAAAGAAGATGATCTTGATTTAGGTCCGTCAGCATTTAAAAGACTCGCTAATCTTAAGGGACGCATACAATGCAGTTGAAATCTCTTGTCATAACGTTACATTGAAATTATCCAAAAAAAATTTCCAGGAATCAGTTTTTTATACTGTAATAACTAATGCTTTGATTTTCAATCTGACATTGACATATACGTAAATATTAATAATAATTCGTGTACATATATAGGCTTTTTGTTCTTTGTCAATTTTACAATAATTGTAATACGTAATTTAGGAAATAAAATCTCGTACGATAAAATCATTTCCTGTTTTTACAATCTGTAGGGGTGTTTCAAAGCCACCCCTTTTTTCGTTGTCTCGGAGTGGTTTTTTTTTTCTTTTTTATTTGAGTTTTGTACACACGAATCGAACGAAGTAATAAATTTATGCGCCTTATGCAGTATACTCCCGGATGGTGGAATAACATATTTCTGAAGTTTCTTGTCTATATAGTCTTTAAAAAAAAAAAAAAAAGTCTTTTCTTCGCTAAGAAGCCTCTATTTAAAAAAAAATAAGGTTTATTCTTTTAATCATAAATAATGCATTTTGTTCAAAATAATCTTTTGTTTCTTTGAGCATTTTGCGAAAGGCGAAATAAAATTTTGTTAGATACCCCTAATCCAATAAACATTTCCGATTTTGATTGGTTAAAGGTAACAGTTTGACTAACGGATAATCTTGTAATTTGTTTGGCAATATCCAATATTGTTATTATGTCAATAGATTTTTTTTTGTTAACCATATTGAAATCTACCCGAATCCAATAATTCGTTTGGTAGCGGTAGTCTCCGCCCTTTCTACTGCAAAGACCCCCCATATGTACATAATCCTTCTCCCTAATGCTTTTACCTAAAATGATGATAAGATAAAGCACGTCTATCTCCGTATTCAAAAATTTTGTTATACCGTCTATATGCATATAAAGGCCAGGATTTTTCACTATTTTCTACAGAAAAAAAAACCGTTAGTGTTTATTAATTATTAGTGCAACTCTCCAAAAAAAAAAAAAATTAAATAAATAAAAAATGACCTCACATTTATTATACACTCGGTTTTTTTTTCTTATGACAATTTCTTTATGCATTATTGCATTCTTCTCTGATCTTAATACTGCCTATAAATTGGGTAGTCTGGGTATTAAGCTAGAACCTAGAAGTAATTTTACTCTAACCAAACGAAACGCTGGAGACTTTACATTCTATGATGTGGGCCTTGGTGCATGCGGTGAAACTAATTCGGACAGTGATTTTATTTGTGCATTATCAAGAGAACAGTTCGGTTCTTCACCTGGTGGCAATTCAAATAAGAATCCAAACTGCGATAGGATGATTAAAGCGTCCTTTGGTTCGAAAACAGTTACAGTCAAGGTTGTGGATCTATGTGAAGGATGTTCTGCAGATGATCTTGATTTAAGTCCGGCAGCATTTGACGAACTCTCTCCTGCTTCGGCGGGACGTATAAAAGGCACTTGGGAGTTCACATCATAATGTTACTTTGAAATCTCCAAAGAAATTTCAGGAATTATTTTTTTTTAAAAAAATTGTAATAATTAATGTTTTGATGTTTCAATCTGACATATACGTAGATAATAAGTATGTATGTGGACTTTTTTTTTCTTTGTCAACCTTACAATAATTGTAATAGCTTAGAAAATTTAATATAATATCGTATGATAAAATCATTCATTGTTTTTGCAATCTGTAAGAGTGTTCAAAGTCACTTCTTTTTTTCGTTAAATATTATAACCTCTGTGTTTTCTTTTTTGTACAAGTTTTGCGCACAAATTGAATGAAATAATAAATTTATGCTATTTAATACGTATACTCTGAGAATAGTGTCATAACGTATTTCTGAAATTTTCTGTCTACGTAGTCTTTTTTTTTTTTTTTAAAAAAAAAAGGAATTTTCATGTTCTACATCACGGATTGCAGAGACCACTACAGTATTCTCAATAACAAGTAATGTATTACAATTATCATGGCGCATTGGAATACACAGTATATGCGGTCGTATAATAAAATTTATTAATGATGATTTTTTATATCGATATAGGTAAAAATATGTTTATAATAAAATATTAGAAATTTTTAAATGGATACACAGCCCTAACGGTTCGATTGTTTTGGATAAAATTTGCAAAAACCAGTATTATGTCACTACAAACAAAGTTACAGAATCATTTCTTTTATTTAAATATGAAAAAATTTTAATATACTATGTATGTTTTTTTTTTCTAATTTAAACCAAAAAAAACAACTAATTTAGGTTCTTTTTTAAAGAATTGGTTCTGTAACTTTATTTGTAAAGATATAATACTAGTCTTTGTAAAACTTTATCCAAAACTATCGAGTAGTTAGGGCTGTGCATCTACTTAAAAATTTATAATATGGGGATGTCAATAGAAACCAAGCAAATTTATTAGATAAATTTGCTTGGTTTCTATTGACACCCCCAATTATAAACTTATTTCACCTATCTAAAAATCCTCATTTATTATATGACCACAGAGAAAAATCTTGTGATTTGATCACACAATTTAACGTGACATATGTACACGTGTCATGTTATTTAATTGTCTGGGAGCGTGGTAGAGAACGATGATGGCGCAAAATTTGGCGGTCCTGTGATTTTTATCAAATCCGATTGTAAGATCAGTGTGTAACATACAAATGCGAAGTAAAAAATTAAAGGCGAAAAAAAACAAGAATCACAAAAAACTTATAAATTCGCAAGGAAATTAGCATTTTGCTATTAATAAAAGTTTTCGGCACAATAATTTAGATATATTCTTTCTACTTTGTATTAATGCAAACATTAAAAAATTAAGATATCATTGTTGTTTAATTAGTCACGGGACCGCCAAATTTTTGCGCCATCACTATTTCATTCGTAGAGAACAGTCTACGGACATCAAGAACAAGGAAAAATCTCATTTTATTTGGTCAAAAAATCCGTTCAATATTGACATAAATTTTTTTTTTTGAATTGTCTGACCCGAATAACCGTGTACCCGATCACCGACTCGAAAAACTACAACCGAGTCATATTATAGACGGGTTACCCGTTAATGATCGTCGATAGATATCAGATATGTAAGTTTCGTTTTGCAAGCTTTAGATTTGATTAGCGATACTGGAGGTAATCGGGTACCCGGTAAACCAGTTTTAGTTGTGGGTACCCGATTGGAAAAAATAGTTGTCTCGACGGGTCACAGGTAGAGATTCTTAAACTGGATTGGAACCCTAATCGTCGATACTCGAAATAGCGTGCATCTGCGCGTTATTTAATTATCTCGTGTATACATGCCGTAGAAACTAGTTGCGAAAGTCTTTAGACATCGATTTTTTCAACAGAAATAAAATCGCAAGCCATAATTTATGCACAATCGAAAAATACCAAAATCTAAATTAGTTGCCCCAATTTTTTTGTCTTATAAATTTTAATAAGTATACATTATTGGCTGCTTCGCATCCAATAACTATATATTATTGGATATGAAGCATCCAATAACTCTATAGTATTATCTTTAAGATCCTAATAACAATGCTGGTTTAACGTAAATTATGGATGCCTCCTTATATTGATTTCTTATTTATTATCATTATTATAAAATGCATTTTTACTTATTAACAATGTTCAAAATTCAAAGCTATCCATCAAAGTATCAACATCGAGTTCGATAAATTTAGAATTTATCAACGTCGGTAAATTTGTAATTTTCTAAATCTTACGGTTTTCCACGTGCCCAAGATTTACCACACTTGCATTTTGCACCAATGTCCATGATCTTTGCGTTTTCTTTTTGGATAATCCCACACCTCTTTGGTGGTCGTCCAGTTGAGATAATAAAAATTTTATAAATAAATAAAATATCCTTTTTTTAATTATCGATTATTTTTTATTACATCTCTTAACATCACTACATCAATAAATCCGGTGCTGCTCACTTCACCGACAATCATTTCACCGAAAGTTCATTTAGTTGACATCACATAAGGTTAGTATTAGCGTTTAATTAGTTGCAGGCACATATTTTTAGTAAATTGTCACTTGGCGTGATGTCGGCTAAGTGAGCTGTCGGATGATTGTCGGTGAAGACGTATCCAATAAATCATATACCAAATATACTTTGTTATTTTCGGCACTTATGGAATTAATTTTGACTTTAGGTATTGAATTTTAACTTTAGGGCAATGCCAGCACTAGTCAAACGATTAAGATTTGATCAGGTCGAATGTTACATTCAGCCATAATTCAGCCTATGAAACTAAAAATCAACATCTTAATTCGACCTATGAATTTATAGTCGAAATTAAAATTCGACATAAAATTCAGCCTACAAATTTATTTTGATTATAAATTTATATATAGGTTGAATAGATCAATTTTGTATATTGATTTTTAATTTCATAAGCTGAATTAAAGCTGAATGTAACATTCGACCTGGTCGAATCTCAATCATTTGACTAGTGGTGCGGTAGAAATTACTTTCTACGGAATATATATACCCGCGCATTATTTCGAATACGCCCATGGGCTTTATTTCGAGATAAAGTATTAATTCTAGAACCAGATTGCTGCTATTGTTCTATTCTTTGAAGAGCCGTGATAGAATAATGTCCAATTTAGCTAATAATATATACTATGCATATACTATATATATATATTATATATATTTATTATATATTATTTATTTATTATTTTTATTTATTATTATTATTATTATTATTATTATTATTATTATTATTTTGACAATATCTATACCTTCTCTAAATTCATTTTATTTCTTCTATTTTTTAAAATTTCAAATACAGCCATACTAATAGAAGAGGAAGGAACTGCCCACAAAATTCTAGAACTCATTCCTTTTGCAAATGCTCTTAGACCACCTTCATATTTATACATATTTTTAATGATTTCCTTTGGAATGTTTTTTATAGAATGTAATTTACCAGTATTATCAATAGTGATAGATTCATGTGAAGAAACTTGAGTTCTAGTTTTAACAATATCTAAAATATTTGATACTGAAGCAGCTACCGCACATGAGAAACCTGAATAGAGTAGATAACTTGAAAATGGTAAATCAATCGAATTCGATAATTCGTTTTTCTTTAAATATTTAACACGACCCCAAGCTTTACATTTTTCGTAAATTATAAAATAAGTAACTACATGAGGAATGAACACTGCCAATGTAATAAAATATCCTCTATAAAAACCTCGTAAACCTTCTTCTTTAAAAATATTTTTTGAAATTTCAAAAGTATTAAGATTACCATTTTTATTACCTATATACGAACTTATAATCCTTTTATTAATAATTTCACGAGATTGAAAAGTTGTATCACTAGCTTGAAGTTTACTTTTAATAACTTCCATAGGTGTCCAAAATATTCCACTTATTATTTCTGCAAATGTACCACTTAAAACGTGATTTAACATTCTATCATCTTTTATGTTAAAATTAGAAGATAGATGGTACTTTGATATATCATAAACGAAGAGAAAAGATGATAATGCAGGGATACCAAGGATAGTAGCAACTGGGAGACCATTATATAAATTTTTGATAGGAGTTCTGCTTATTACTTGAATGACTGGATTTTTTTGAATGGTAGACTTGAAAAAGTAATAAATATGTTTGACTCCATTAGGTGAAAATTTAGCACTTGAAGTTAGAGGAGGGTAAGAATAGGATGGTGTTGACAAAGTAGTTTGAGCAAGCACACGAATCGTGTCAACTTTTTTTAAAAAAATAGATGATGTTAGTAAAATTTAATAAACACTTAACATTTGTAGTTTGAAAACTTACGAGGGTGAGTAGCTATTCGTGCGATTATTGCCGCTATACTTGAGTCAATTATATTAATATTAGTTGATGACATTTTTTCTTTTATCATTCATCTTAGGTAAAAAAAAAAAAAAAAAGAGATTAGATTTACCGGTTTAATACGTGAAGTTTATGTATTAGTATGTAGTACAATTTTTTTCAACAATAAAAAGAATTACATCATTTTTACCAGACAAGTTTATTACATTTCCTAATGTAAACTTTAATACACTCGCATTAGTACGTACTAATGCGAGAAATTATTTTTTTGTGAAAGAATAAATTATCGTAATTTGTGACCGGTAAGATTCTGGTTGGCTGACTCAAATTAATCAAATTCATAAAATCCATAAGAATTTTGGAATTCACAAAAAACTTTAGAAAAATGATTACTCTTTATATTATAACAGTAACCACAGATGTCCTGGTAAATTTCGTAGAACACAAACGGTCCTTCGTGTAATTCAATATATAACCATCGTAAATCATATACAGTCTGACCTCTATCATAGCATCGGAATCATGGTAGACCATCAGTTTTTACTTTCTTAAAATACATACATTTATTGTGTTATAACATTACAACAATAGCATCTGTATACTTTGAATCTAAAGTAGACCGAGAGAGAGCTCTAGCAACCATAGCATACTACT